AACATCACAATAATTCATTATTAGACCTATAGTTGTTTTTTGAATTGTGCTCCACAAATCTCAGCCGATACCTCACACAACTCGTTAACGTCGCATATCTATTATTGTCGTGACGTCATGGCTCGCTGGCTCACACTTGCTATGTCTCGCACTTGTGATCAAATAACACGCTGGCTCGCACTTTGGCAACACTCTTTGGCAGTCAACTCGCCCCTAGAAAACCCGTCCTTGGAAACTTGCCCCATAAGACCATGCAGTCTTCAAAATAAAAATTTGTAACCTTTGGTAATCAACTACATTTTCCACATACATAGAAATTTTTGAAACTTTATTAAAAAAAACCTAAACCATATTCACCACTATAGACACTTTTTGACAAAAATGAAAAATTACATATATATACGTATATATATGTATATATGTGTATATACAGTATATATACGTCTATATACATAAATTATTTGTTATATATTTTTTATTATTCATTATTTTCACTTGACTCGCATAAATAATTCTGTTCGAAGAACATTTATATGCAGTTGTACTTCGCAGCACTTCACTTGCAATTTGCAATTTCTAGTATATAATATATATTATTTATGTATATATATATATATTTATATATATATATATAATTTATATATATATATCTATTATTTATATATTATTTATATATTATTTATATATATATATATATATATTATATATATATGTATATATGTACGTATATACAGTATATATACGTATATATATACATAAATCATCAAAGAAAGGTAAATACAGTGTTCGTACACTGTATTTACCTTTCTTTGATGATTTATGTATATATAACAGTGTTAACGGCTATCTTGATTTATATTACAGCATACGTATATACGTATATATATATATATATATATACAGTATATTTATATATATATATGTATGTATATATACTTTTTAAGTCATGTATCATGCATAGGAACGTTAACGCCTGCAAGGCTCTGGTTTTCAGATTTAGCATATTTTCAACTTGAGGAATGTAGACAAGTTTTATATCAAACTAAAGCTTAAAAAATGTTTTTTTATGATTCCTTGATGAAACTTTTTTTGTGTGGATGTATAAAAATATTTTGGAATTTGAAATTACATAATTTTGAAAGTATAAAAAATATGAAAATGTCAAGTTTTTTCAAAAACTCTAGGAAATAAAAAAATTGCCGTTCATGCCAGTCATTTTTATTTTAATTCGGAGAACTTAACATATTAAATTAGTTTTTTGTGACAAAAAGTAATATTCATTTACAAAACAATATTAAGGTGGGGCAAAAATATTTCTTAATATTTTTGTCAGTCTGTGACCAAAAAAAAAAACATTTTTCAAGTTTATTATTAAAGTCAGGCAGCTTTCAACCATTGTGAAATTCATAAAACCATTGAAGCTATTAGGCTAACATACACTGACAAGATTACTTAAATTTTTGGACTTATTTATCCATATTTTTATTAAATTAATTTTAGTCGGTCCGTGACTAAATTAGTCACACACCACCAGCAGTCAACAATTCAAAACCACAGTGCAGAGACTTTCTTCCAGTGTCTTTATACAAAGCTATCAATGGTAAAAGCCACAAACATTATATAGCATTGTGGACAGACATGGACGACTTTGAATTTCCTATAACACTTTTACACTGTCAAGACAAATGTGGAAAGGTCTTTATTATAAAGAAGTCACAGACAAATGGAATGTATGAAATAAAGCCAGTAGGAAGAAATATCAGTAGGAATTAATGTCATTAACAAAGGAATGATCCATTTCAGAAGGGGTTTTGGTTAAGAAATAGACAGGAGCCATTACACACCCAGTTAATCCTACTCATATGGTAATTTTGTGTTCATAGCATAATAAGCGAAGTACAGTATCTTACTTAACACTTAGCATATTAAATTAGTTTTTTGTGACAAAAAGTAATATTCATTTACAAAACAATATTAAGGTGGGGCAAAAATATTTCTTAATATTTTTGTCGGTCTGTGACCCAAAAAAAACATTTTTCAAGTTTATTAAAGTCATGCAGCTTTCAACCATTGTGAAATTCATAAAACCGCATTGAAGCTATTAGGCTAACATACACTGACAAGATTACTTAAATTTTTGGAATTATTTATCCATATTTTTATTAAATTAATTTTAGTCGGTCTGTGACTAAATTAGTCACAGACCGACTTGTCGGTCTGTGACCAATGATATTACAAAAATCTTTAAGCAAACTTTTCACTGTAAAGTTGGTTATATTCAATAAACAAAAATAAATGACAAAAGACATGGGCCTGGGAAAGGTTCTAACGATATATAATGATTTATTGGAAAATAACAATTATTTGCTTCATAATAGAGCTCTCAACAACCACCTATTGGGTATAATAAACCATATGTCTAAGTATTTGGAAGCTATATTAGTGGTCAAAATCTTTAAAATACATGCTGTAGTCTATCATTCAGTTCAGATCTTGATTTCAACATTAAATACTATTCATTATGCCATTATAACGTTAAAAAAAAACAGCACGCTATTCATCTCAAAGGCAACCTTAGATGGAAAACGAAGCATGCTAGATGGTCGCTGGGAGGATGTGAAAACACTTCCAGGTACCCATAAAATGCATTTCACCATTCCAGTTCAAAAGCATGTTGTACGATATGCCCCATATAGTCAATTCAATCAGTTGCAGGAATTTACTCTGAAACTGTCAGAAACAGAAACACCACCAGCAGTCAACAATTCAACACCACAGTGCAGAGACTTTCTTCCAGTGTCTTACAAAGCTATCAAGGGTAAAAGCCACAAACATTATATAGCATTGTTGACAGACATGGACGACTTTGAATTTCATATACAGTAACACTTTTACACTGTCAAGACAAATGTGGAAAGGTCTTTATTATTAATAGGAAGTCACAGACAAATGGAATGTATGAAATAAAGCCAGTAGGAAGAAATATCAGTAGGAATTAAATGTCATTAACAAAGGAATGATCCATTTCAGAAGGGGTTTTGGTTAAGAAATAGAGAGGAGCCATTACACACCTAGTTAATCCTACTCATATGGTAATTTTGTGTTCATAGCATAATAAGCGAAGTACAGTATCAGTTATTTCTCCATTTAAATTAGGCTAATTATTTATTAGGTTGTAAGTAAATATTTATTTTACTAAATTTATTTTACTAAATTTATCACAGTAAATACAATCTAATAACATCTGTATTTATTTACATATTAAATATTATAGTACATTTAATAACAGTTATAATACAACCTAATAATAGAAATATGTTCACTTATTTCTTTATTGCATTAACTAGGCCTAATTTATTAGGTTGTATTTATTGCTAAATTCACTCATAGAATAGAGCTTCATAATTTCTATCACACATTTACTTATTCCAACCTTGTTAGGTTGTATTTATTTAAGTATCTAATAATTAGGCTTATTAGGCTGTATTATTTAATGTACTGTACTATATAGTATATGATACTTTAATATTATTATATATCAGCTAATTATTTAAGTAAATATGACAATCTAATAATCAGGCCTATGAGGCTGTATTTATTTAATTTAATGTACTATATGATACTTTAAGTTTGTTGTATTTAGTATTGTATACTTAATAACAACTTAATAATTCAGCTCATAATTATTATTTTTATTAAAAGATTTATTAAGTTGAATTAGTATCATATATTAAATTTTTTATTTATTAGCTAAATATTCGTCATTTCTGGTTTTTTGTATTTCTTTTAAGTATCATAGTACATTTACTTGAATAAAACCAGTCTTGTTGTAATGGTCACCCTGTATTTAGCAAGTAAATACAATCAATAATACCTGAATTTATTTACGAAATTGTTATTTAAAGTGTTATCTTTAGTGGAGAATGCTCTCTGCCTGTTTTTGTTCAATCCGGTGTCCCTCAGGGTTCTATACTGGGGCCGCTTCTTTTTATCCTCCACAAGTGATTTGCAAAACGTTGTTTCATCTCCCACCTCAATTTTCATGTATGCAGATGATACTGTTATTTTTACTGTAGGTCCATTTCTTCTGATGAAGATGCCATCAAGCTGCAATCTTGCAATCCGAATTGAATAATATTGCCACATGGAGTTTTGAGATTGATCATCAATCCTTCTAAGTCTGTTTTTCTTACAATATCTCGGTGCCAAATCCCACTGCTATTTTCATACGAAGTTAATCATATTGAAATTCCACGCCAGACTGGCCGATCTAAACTTTCACTCACTATGTGTAATAGTCTAATGCATTCAGAGAGATTTCACTAGGTATTATCTTGGCCAGACTTGTTCTCTTAGGATTAGGGATATTGGATTAGGGATCTCGGAGCCAAATCCCACTGCTATTTTCATACAAAGTTAATCATATTGAAATTCCACGCCAGAGTGAGCATTACTACCTTGGCGTTATTCAATCAAACCTAAAATGGCATCTCCATATTCAATCAATTTGTAATAAAGCCAACCGAGTACTTGGTTTTATTAAATGTTTCACTGACAGATCTAAACTTTCACTCACTATGTGTAATAGTCTATGTCTTCCCATATTATATTATGCGTCACCAGTATGGAACCCCTATATGGAATGTGATATTGCCAGGATTGAATGCATTCAGAGAGATTTCACTAGGTATTATCTTGGCCAGACTTGTTCTCTTAAGATTAGGGATATTGGATATATTTCCTATGAGGACCGGATGGCCAAATTGGGTTTTGTTTCTCTTTAAAAAATTCAGAAAGTTATCGATATGTGTTTTTTTCTTTGAATTGTTCAACAGCCCAATTATTAACATGTTTGACTTCATCCTTAATGTAAGAAAAGAATATCCTACTCTTTGTAATAGAAATCCCCGATGCAACGAACTTGCTCATTCTTTTTGTCATAAAATTATTGACTGTTGGAATTGCCTTCCTTTACATGTGCGTAATGGTAATTTTAATTTATTTAAAAAAATTTTTAAGGAATCGTTCATATAACGTTCTTGTTTGACTATACGTTTTGCTGATGAGTGCTTGTGGATCCCAAACATTTATTGTATAAGAACTCTGTTCCTTTTGGTATACCCGCCTCCCCACCCACCTCCAGCAATCTGTATACTCTTTGTTACAATGGATTTTCTTTTTCTTTCTATTTTAATGTTTCTATCTTGTATTGTATACATATATATTGCTTGTTAAGTTCCTCATACTGTAAGTCAAAATACGTCGAGATAATGTATAGCGTACAGTACCAAAAACTTATTTCTAACGTATGACCAATGTACTTCTAACCGACTGTATGAGAAACTTATATCAAACTTATCTCCAATGCATATTGACGTATTTGGCATATTCCGGACAACCACAGAATTTACTGAAAGTGTTTCCAACTTACAGGTACTGTATAATGGCGTATTGGCAGCATTTAGGGGAATTGGTATAAACTGTACAGTAAACATGGGGTGATGTTGATACGGTAATATTAATAACTGCGACAATGATGTTGATACTGCCATGTTTAGTGTGGTTATGATTTGAATCGATGAGTGGCAGCCTTTTTATAGGCTACATCACATGATCATCGGTAATACGCTGCTGCGCACTGTCCATAAGTTCGACTATCGTTGGGCATAATTTGCGAACGCCAGCAGCACACTAAGCACTTGTTGGTATACGTTATCTATAAGTTGTTGAAACGTTCTATAAGTTACTAAGTTACTGTGCACTTCTCAAAAATTCATCATTATTTTATTAAACATTTAAAAATTATGAGTGTAACAAATATTCTCCACAGTGGCAGATTCAATGGGGACCCATCCCCCACCTCCCCACCTAATTTTTTGTTTATATTCTAAAAATTGAAGAAAAAAATTATATTCAAATTTAAGTTTGAGAGTGGAATTTCCAGCCATCGTAATGATAAATTTTCTTACCTCAGACCAAACCAATTGGGACTGAGGTGGTATTAACACCCTATTTGTGAGTTCTTCCTGGGGCCTCCTTCTACAGTATTTCGAATCAGTCATTCCTCCATATTAAAAGTCTTGTGTACTTTGTTAAGTATGTGTACAGTATATAAAAATCGTAATGATTTTTTTTACCGCTACTTTGTGTTTAACTTAGCCGAGGTTGATGGCTTGTAGGCCTACAGTAAATTCCTGGGACCTGTCAACACATAACATGACAACATTTTTTTTTATGGCAATACTGTATGCCTTGGGTAGCCACAGAATGTGTATTCTGAAAATGGGTCGCCACCTAAAAAAGGTTGAGAAGCAGGGCTCTAATCGAAGTAAACCCATAAAAATTTTTCTTTATTCATTTAGGAGTTTCAATCATCAAAAACTTCTGAAGATCTTGACAACAACTTCAACGAGCGAATGTGTAACTGGATGATATTTGTTAACCTTGCAAGAAACAGTCGGGAGTCAAATCTTGAGCCAGTTCTTTACAATGGGGCAATCTTCTTCCGCACATCAAAGTTAATTAATAAAATCAACCAGCTTCTTGTATCTGGTGATGTGGAGGTTGTTGGTACCCTAGAAGACTCTGATGTTAGAATACCAGGCCTGCCTATTTCTCAAGAAGGTTCTGGTCCAATAGACTATTCATTATTAGAACAGAGCATTGGTTGTAAGATAAGCAAGCCAGTACCAACCAGCAACACCGACATCCTAGCTAAGCAGTCTGCTGTCAATGAGGGTAAGCATACATCATTTCCCTGACAGTGGCATTGTATGTTTTGTATAATCATTAATTTCTCTTTATTGTCAAATTTAATATTTTTGTTAATTGTTTATTGTACTGTATATGAGGCTTGCCATTCCAAAACCAGCATTGTTGCTAAAAGTTAAACTGAGTAATTAGCATAAGAATGTGGCTGTATTGTAGACTTTAGTACAGAGAGGCTGTTATACTTTCACTCATATCTTCGGCAGTAATATAAAGTCTATTCAAGTTTAAAATGACCTGTCATTTTTAAGCTTATAAAGTAGAGAATATGAATATTAAAAAGGTCAATTTTCTAGTTTTGGTCACTTTACAGTATGCTGGTTTTAGCAAGTCCCATGTGAGAACATAATCCAATTATTCTCTGCTTAAATTGTTTTTAAGGTAAATTTTATTAAATATTAATCTTAAAAAATAAATTAAAATTGTTTGTAATTAATTTTAATATTTTGAAACTTTTAATTTGAATTTTTCCACTTACTGTTTGCATGTTATTTTAATGATTTCCTGCTTTACTGTATTTTATTCGTCTTTGCTGTTTTTCAATCATACTGATTTTTTTTAATTTTTTAAAATTATTATACAATAATTATAATATTCTCTATTTTAATATGAGGACCCTAACGTACTGTATTTACTTTTTGGGTCATTCTTTGTATCTTGTAGAATTGTTCTTTGTATTTGTAATTTCTATTTAAGTATTTTGAGACTAAATAATATCAATTTTTTTTAAATTTTTATATTATTAATTTTCTTTTATTAGTAAATATGTTTTATTGTTTCATTATCATTCTTTAAATGTATTTTACTGTAATATGTTTCTCTATTCTCAGATGATGAGCTTAGTTTTGATCTGAATGAGTATCTGCAACAGAACCAATTAGAACTTATTGAGAAACCTGTCAATTACAATCCACACAACCGAACAGAACCAGTGTGCTACAGAGGAACCTGTCAACCAGGGAAAACCATCCGAGGCAATGAACCATACATGTGTAAACAGTGTGGTGCAAGGTTTGCTCATGTGAGTGTGTTGATGAAGCATGAAAACACACACATGGAGGATTTGGGAAGGTATAGGTGTACTTACTGTGGGAGGGTGTTTGTTCAGAAGGGATCTTTACTAAAACATGAGGAGATACATACAATGAATCAAAAATTATCTATTTGTAAAGTCTGCTCTGTTTGCTTTGAGAGGCAGTCAGATTTGGATGAACATTTTAAAGTGTTTCACAGCTCAGAGGTTGGTAGAGCATTCCCATGTTTTATTTGTGGGACTGGCTTTACTAAAATCGGGAGCCTAAGAGCACACATTAGGTTGAAGCATCCTGGCAAGCTCTCACAAAAGTGCCGATTCTGTATGAAGACATTTAAAAGCAAAGCATTTCTAGATTCACATGAATATCAACACCTATCAGACAAACCTTTCGCCTGTCAGTTTTGTAGCTTCAAGTTCTCTGCTAGCTCCAAACTACTGAATCACATAAAATGTACACACAAAGAGGAAGTTGAGTCTACTGCCATGGCAGAAAGAGAATCACTTATCTGCTACTACTGTGGCTACACTTTCTCAGTACATACTCAGTTCATCAAGCATGTGAAATTATGCAAAGCTGGTTTACAGAAAGACTCTGCATCACCACTCTCGTCAGTTGCTGGGAAGCAGCTGAGATGCATGGAATGCACAACAACGTTCCTAACAAATGTATCTCTGCAGAATCATATGAAGCGGCAACATGGCGATAGACCATATAAATGCCACTACTGCTTGCGGTGCTTCAAGTTCAATTGCAATCTCAAGAATCATATTTTAATGCACATGAAGAAAGGCCTTTCTCCAAAATTCTCACCTGCTGTTCAAGATTCAGTGATGACTTGGAACAACAAAAATGCCAACCATGTGTATTTTTGTAACACCTGTAACTCAAGCTTCCAAGATAGAAATTTCTATCAGAAACACCAATGTAGAAAGGACACTTCCCAAGCAAAATCGATCTTAGTCTGCCCAGTATGTAGACGAGGATTCTATGGTAAGTCTCAACACACAAGACACGTAGCATTGTGTAAAACTGGTTCACGTAATAAATCAATGGCGTATAGAATGAAGAAGCTGCCGGTGTACTGTCAGTATTGCAAGGTGGCTTTTGGTTACCGCAAAGAATTGTATGCCCATGAACGAGTTTGTTGTGCTTTTTCAGAGAAGTCAAATAAGATGCTAGAACGTTATGGATGTGCTATCTGCAATAAAGCTTTCCTTAAGTGTAGTCTATTAAAAGTCCATCTGAGGAAGTTACATCCAGATGAATATATCGACTGTAGAATTAAGGAGTTAAAGTTGAACATGTGCAATGGTTGTAAAAAGTGTTTTCGTTGCTTGAAAGGTCTTTCCAAACATGTCAATCATTGTCCTATTGCCTTAGGTAAAACAAGCAGGTCTCTTAGTTGCAAGCTATGCTATAAAACCTTTAAAACCATACTACTGTTCAATGGTCATAAAGTTTCTTGTGAACTGAAGAACCATTCAGAAAAAGTAAATGTAAACCAAGGTACAGGTATAATGAAAGGTGCCCAAATAGCCAAAGAAGCTAATGGTTCAAAAGGAGTAAGTATGCCTGTGCTAACTTCCAGTTTTTCATGCGAACATTGTGGAAAGGTATTTTTAAATGGACAGGGCTTAGGGAAACATAAGAAATATTGTCAGATTCCAGAAGAACCAAAGTCATATGTTTCTCACAAATGCTCCAAGTGCTCAAGATTCTTCTTAAACCGTAACATGCTTATTGCACACAAGATGGTTTGTGTTGAAAGGAAAAGAAAAACCAAGGCCAAACAAAAGTCAAAACGATTTCCTTGTACTGATTGTGGCAAGTCTTTTCGTTGGATCCAAAGTCTCCAGAGGCACAAACGCTCCTGCATGCCAGATATCATAAGCGGAGCTGATACTTACATTTCAGGATCTGTCAATCCCGAATCTTCAGATTCTTCCAATGAAATTTTCTGCAAAGTATGTGGAAGGACTTTCAAGAAAATACAAGGCCTTGCAACGCATGAATTGACATGCATGCCAAACATTGCAGAGGACAGATATCCACCAACAGAGTCTTCTGCAGTGTCCTCAACTACAAAGAGTCGCTTTAAATGTAAATACTGTTACATACCATTTAACAAATACAAGGCACTCATTCCTCATCTGAAAAACTGCTCTTCTCGAATACTACAGATAAACAATAAGCAACTCATGGCTAAAAATGAAGCAATTAAAAATGAATCAGAAAGGATAACGACAAACAATTCTGTTACGCTTTCAAGTGATCTATATATATGTCGTAAATGTGGCACATCCTTTCAAGATGAAGGCAAGCTTGTTGAACATGATTTTGTTTGTTGTCCAGAATTCAAAGTATTTGGCTGCAGCAAATGTAGCGCGACATTCTCAAATGAAACGGATCTTGCACGACATGCGCAAATGGCTCATAACCGCATCAAGAACTTCATGTGTAAGACATGTGGGAAGACTTTCTTGAACAATGCTGGTTTAGGTAAACATAAAAACACGCACAAAACAAATGTCTTCTTAAGGACTACGAAGCAACAAAATAGTAACATTGCCAAAAAATGTATCAAATGTAAGGTATGTGGGTGTTCTTTTGGTAGCCTGAAAGGTTTAAGGAAGCACAAAAACTTAAATCGGTGCAAGGTAATATATCACAACTGCACACTTTGTGGAACTAACTTCAAATCAATCACTGAATTTGAAAATCATTCTGGAGCATGTACAGAAGCTCGGCAGCACATATGCAAAATTTGTGGACGTGGATTCAGAGTTCCTGGTTATCTTGACCGCCATGTGCTGAAAGAGCATGACAAGTCTTTCAATACTAGTGCAACACGTCACAGAAACAATGAACAACAGAATGCTAAAGAGAAGTTGAAGCAGCTTAAGGAATCTGAATCAGCCTTGAGAAAACCAAACATTTCATCAGCAGTAACAGGATCCCATGATCACAGTAAACAAAGAAATGACAGCTTTAAATGTGGCTTTTGTTCGAAGAGATTTCCAACGTTGGAAGCATTCGCTGACCATGAAGACGCTGAACACTCAAAGAAATTTAAATGTCATGTCTGCTCTCAGAGTTTTAAGTTTGAAAGACAACTTTTACATCATCGTAGATGTCATGTCAATGTCTATCCACATAAATGTAAAATGTGTCCTATGAGATACAAGTACAAAGCTCACTTAAAACGTCATTTTGAAAATAAACATAGCTATAGAAGTCAACATTTAAAGAAAGAGTTGAGAAGTATCAAAAAAGATGGTTATTAGAAAAAAATATTACAAGTCACTGAGATTAGTTTGATCGATCTGTTGCTTTGTTAATGAACACACATCAGTAAATTTTTTTATTAAAAAAAGAGATAGAAATGACGTACTATGAATATTTTAGATAGCAATTATCAATTGAAACAGATGAAGGCCATACCATGATGTAACTTTGTCTCTCTTCTTGCTTTACCAACCCTAGGTCAAGGAGGTATTAAATATATAGTGTATTAAATACCATTTTTGCTTTGGTTGTCTTATTTTCATCTTAAGTGACAAAAACAAAATCCATGGGTAAAATGTTTCAGTAGGCCTATCTTCATAGTTAAAAGTATCAAACTAATAATAGGAAATGTCAACAAACAACTACGAATTCATTCGACTCCCTGTCATCAGAACAAGGTACCTCATGGATGTATGGGGAGCTGTTATTCTATTCTTGCATTATCGTTGTTAATGTGTGTACTTTATATTCACTAACAGTTCTACTAATGTTGGAAAAATAGTATGTTGTGCCTTTGCTTTCAACCAGTTAATGTTAACATCTATTTTTGTTTAATTAAGAATCTCTAGTGTAAAGCTTTATTTGTGTGCTATTGAAATGTCAAAACATGAACAGTCTCAAAGATATTTTTTTTACCATGCATCATATCTTGTATAATGGCACCAAAGATTCTTATTTGTTCGCATGATCATGTTTAGTTTGAATACTGTTAATGTAGATTTTAAGGTTTTTTTTTTTTTTTTATTGTTACAAATTTACCATAATAATTGTCCTGTAAATTCATAATAGTTTAATGAACATATGAGCTGAATTATGTATTATTGTAGTCCTACTACGAATACCTATATTTCATAAATCTTTGCAAACTGTATTACTGTATTTTGATTGCATCAAAGCTTTTTAATAAATAGTTATTACAGCATTGATTTGTGTAATACAGTACTTTTGTTATTGTATGGTGTGTTTATACAGTTTGCCTTCCAATTCAATACTACCTTTGGGACCTATTGTGTTAGTAAAGGTTCGATATAGCTGTTATTAAAGCCAGGCTGAAGTGAAAAAAAAAAGATATATATGTATGTATGTATGCTCTGTATGTATGTGTTTGTGCGGTGTGAGGGTGTGTGTATACGTATGTGTATATATATATATATATATATTATGTGTGTGTATATATTTATGTATATATGTGTGTATATTATATATATATATATATATATATATATATAATATAAATTATTAAAGGTACATATAATGTTTTTAAATAATGATATATATAAAAATATAAACATATATAAGGATATATATATATATATATATATATATATATATATATAACTTCAACAGTATGTTGTAATGTCCAATCAAACCTACTGTTGAACCTCTTATTTTTGTTTTCATTCGCTCTGAGAACTCTGTTGATATCTGATCGTTAGTTGAATAGCATAAGGAAACAAATGAAATATCAAGTTGAAGTATAACGAAACACAATTTATACTGTATGTAATTTAACAGTGTTAACGGCTATCTTGATTTATATTATATGCAACTATATTGTTTCTAGCCGTACCTATTGTGTAATGGAGTGTATCTGGTGGTATTTTAATCTGTTCAACCATGAAGCCTCCGTCGTCTAATGGTAATGACACTCGCCTTGACAGCGAGAGGTCGCAGGTTCGAGTCCCGCTAGGGGCATTTTACTACACAATTTCTTTCTACATTTATTTACGGGACTACATTCGTTGAGAGCTGTGCTACGCGATGTATTATTATGTCCTTTATTCGAACACTGTAAATGCTGTCTCTTATACACATCTTTCTTACTGCCATTATAATTATTATTGCTGCAAGGACTCGACGTTTTATTGCACTAGACTGTTTCATGAGGGATACCTCAATCTTGAGTACATAACAACAAAGTACTGTACATTGAATAAGTGATGATATGACTGTTTATAGGAACAAACGAGTGTGGAAATTACCAAACAATCAAGTCCTTATTCTTTATTGGATGGGTCTAAGGTAGCCTATACATAATAATGAAGGTATGGTGCGTAGCACCGTAAACACATAAATAAATTGATAAATAATAAAAACAGTATGCTTGCATGTGTGTGTGTGTGCGCGCGTGCGTGTGTGTGTGTCCTGGTGCAATTAATTCATATAACACAACTAAGTCTTGCTTTTTGTCCTTTATTTACAAAGTAAAATATAACGCTATATAATCGTTGAAGAATAAAGGCCAAATCAGACAACATCGTACGACACAGCAGGACGCGATTTGTTGTCGCGTCGGGTCTGTACGAGTTCAATGCAACGCGATGGTTTGCGTAGGGGACGGTCGATTTCGTAGATTATTAAACACATTTCATATTTCTCACGCTGGTTTAAGAATGTCCCCGACGATGAATCGCGTCGGGTTCCGTTGTACGACGCTGTATGAGTTGGCCTTAAGAAAACTGCACAGAAATATAAATTTGAGCACTACCAACAAGTTTACAAAATGCTTCACAGTGAATATGGTGGTTATACAAGTGTTTGCAAATGTATGGAGTGTATAAATATACAATTCAGTTTTTTTTAACTGCTAGTTGGCCTAAATTTTGCTGTGATTTTCGTTGTTTGTGTTTTATGAATAATACATTGATATATATACACTCATGAGCCTACAATGTAGACATGCCATCAGTGGCGTAACGATGGGGTCGGGGGCCCTGTGTATTTCTCTGAAACTTTGGGCCCTTTTTGGGTCCCAGTCACCAATTCCATCGTGGGATTTTAGATGTGCATTGTTATTCTGAATGTTTTTAACGACGAATAGATGATATAATATGGATCCAGAAAATTGAGGCCAGGGAGGGAATTTCACAATTGAGTCTATACCACCTCAGACCCACCATTGGGGCTGAGGTAAGAAAATTTATGAATATGGCACCTTTATGGCCGGAAATTGCACTTCACAGACATAAAATTGTATATATATTTTTTTTTTTATCTCCAGTTAAAAAATATTTTTGACAAATTTAGTGGGGCCCCGGGCCAGCATACATAGCATTTTAAATAAAATTCTATTGACAAGACGGTATCCTAGGCTAAAATACAGGCTTATTGATCATTTCTATGATACTGTATTTATTCAAATAAACTCCCCTATTTGAATAATAAATTCTTCCTCCAATATACGTCCCCATCCTAACAACTCAATTTTGTTTATTGAAGGCTCTGCAGATATATTCCATGGGCGTTTCTGACTCTTATTCGAATAGATACGGTATGCAAATGGAAGGGAGCATAGCTAGCTATTAATACGTTCCCAAAACTACCTCAATTAAAATTACGGTATAAAAAAATTCAAACCTTATACTGTACATGATTTTTTTCTTCTGAGTTAAATGGTAAATTGAGTATTGCAGATGTCTAGGGAGGATGTTGAAATCTTATTAGTATTTATGTTGCTTGCACAGTTGAAGGGTTATATCAAGGTTGAAAAATTATGATAGGCCTATACTAGCAGCAGAGACTATGGTTAATTGCTAGCAGTGTATTTTTCCTTTAAAATTAGGCAATTTAACCAACGTAATTTGGTAGCTTTTGGTCTTGAGCGGGAGGTGGATATGCTACGCCTGGAGGTGGTGGATATGCAGCTCCAGCTGCTGCAGGTGGATATGAGCCACCAGGGTGAGGGTATACCTGCTGTTGTGGAGGATAGCCGCCCTGCGGAGGGTAGTAAGGCTGTTGAATAACTGCTTGAGTATGCTGGGTTTGTTCTGGGGGAGAAAAAAAATGTATGTATACATTACTACGATACGATAAAACCTTATTGTCACAACGGTATAAATACAGCTATGAGACATGGTTCCTTAAATACACTCATATTAGTAACCAATAGAAATATAATTAAAATACATACAAGTTGCACAACAGAAATTGCTTAAATTAAAAAAAAAAAAAAAATCCAACATCAGCATTATATTTTTTCCCAAAATCTTTTAATTTCAGGAGGACGATTTTGAAGTTGGGATTATCTTCTAATAAAACCATCTTACCGTATGACGTCAATATCGACAGGCGCAAAAATATATCAATCAAATCAACATGTGCAATTATAGGAAGCTCGGGAATATTAACGGACAGTGGGTGTGGCCACGAGATAGACGGGCACGAGTTTGTAATTCGTGAAAACTTAGCCAAAACTAAAAGCTTTGGGAATGACGTCGGCAGGCGAACAGACCTGATGACGTCAAACAAAGCGTTGACAGAAGTTTTGGATCATTGCTTGAGGGGTGTGGAGGTAGATTGTTACGAAGAATATCACAGTCGTAGAATTTGATTATTGGGGCCATTTATACCTACCTGTCTTATGGGGCCATTTTTACCGGGGCCATTTTTTCCGGGGCCATTATTTCCGGGGCCATTTTTTCCGGGGCCATTTTTTCCGGGGCCATTCTTACCGTACACCATATATATTAAATGTATGTTACTATAGTTTTTAATGAGACTTTGTCTCATTCGGTATAATTAGGATAAGTTAGTATTAGAGCTATACCGGTTGGAGGAGCGGATGCGTTTCATCGAATTCGCTGTGAAATTCGCTTGTGTATCCTTGGGGCAAGGCACTTATCTACGTTTTTCTCTCTCATAAGAAAGTATAATACATACTCCAAGTATTGAAATACACGCCATCGTGTTGGGATTCAATATTTCGACATTAATTATGTCATCATCAGGAATGAAAAAATGATCCATATTAGCAAGCTTATATGCACTAGTACCAAAAGTGTTTAATCAATCAAAACATTACCTCTAGTAGGTGAAATAGCTGTGATTTAAACAAAAGTTCAAAGCATTCTTACTCTAATGATCAAAGATACCTACAAAAACAAAGAAAGCTCTTTTTAAGCTCTGAGCCCATTGTTAAGAAATTTTATATCTACTAAGGATCAAACCCCTAAGGAGTACAGAAGTTCTGTTGTCTATTTTAAATGTCCAGGCTGAAATAGTGATTATATTGGTAAGACAGATAGGTGCTTAATAACTAGACTTAAAGAACATTCTTCACGATCTGATAGTGTTATATTTGATCATGTTAAAAACTGTGAGGCATTCCAATATGTTTTAGGATTACATGGTATACTTGAAAATGATAATGTCGTCTGTAAATGTAAGTAATAAATTAGGTTTAATATTTTCTAGTACTAACATTATTGACAGCTCCCGAAACTGGTATATCCTATTGTTAAAAGAAGCGTTTGCTATACGTAGACTACCCTTTGCTTAACAATGGGCAGAGCTTCAAAAGAGCTTCCTTTGTTTTTGTAGGTATCTTGATCATTAGAGTAAGAATGCTTTGATCTTTTGTTTAAATCACTGCTATTTCACCTAATAGAGGTAATGTTTTGATAGGTTAAACACTTTTGGTACTAGTGCATATAAGCTTGCTAATATGGATAATTTTTTCATTCCTGATGATGACATAATTAATGTCGAAATATTGAATCCCAACACGATGGCGTGTATTTCAATACTTGGAGTATGTATTATACTTTCTTATCTGAGATTAATCAGTGGACCTTTCATTTTTTTCTCTCTCCACCCAAGAATGGGTACCGTACTGTCCTGGTAGGATGATGTGGCATTCAATGATTAGTCTGTGTCTGCATTAAATTGCACGCATGACTAGGAATACTCGTCAAGGAGGTTGCACTTTGTGTTGCTTGGATGATGGATCCAATGACCCGGGGATAATAACATCGCCAGCGCATTGATCCCTTAGAGCAACAGGCGTGATATAAATCCCTATATCATTATTACTATAAACAGCCAGCTTAAAAGTGTTGTTAAATCAGTATTAAATTATGTTTTCAAAGTGGAATACGGTACACTTTTATATTGAGCAGTTTTTATTGCTGCATACAGTTTGTAGTATTATTTTTTCTTTCCTTTTTGTATTTATTTGTTATGGAGGAAATTCTGAAATAAAAGTTGATTGATTGATTGACTGATTGATTGATTAAGCTTGTGGTTTGTTTGTTCGAAGCATGACGTCACATAGTTCCCATACAGCAAGTTTTTTCCCCTTTAATTATAATATCTGTGTCTACTTGGTGATATATCTAATAATTTGTCAAATGGAACTAGTTTTAAATGATTTTGCAGTACAGTATATAACAGAGACATACTTACGTGTTGTTACGACTGCAGTTCTCGTCACCGGGCGAGACGCTTGAGCGCAGCATACACAACCACACACACAACATGCTATAATGCCACCAACAATAGCAACCACAATGAGGATGCTGATTACAATGACGACAATGATTGCAGTGCTGATAGAGCTGAAAATAGATAACAACACCAATACTCTGTCTTAAAATTCAATTACAAAACATAGGCTCCCAGCGGGAACGTGCTACTGCTTGACATAGTTTTTTTTTTTAAATTCACTTGTGTTTACCAAATTGGTGACTTTTAGTAACGTTTATAGGACAGGTCTTACCTAGCAGCTTTCTGTGTTGGCAATTCTCCTAAATAATTTATCTAAGACACGTCGTGTCTATCATGGCATCATATTTCGTAAGCTGACTTTTTAATTTTTATCTTTAGCTTATGACGACCCATCCCATCATTCCTTCACCGGGTTTACTCTCACAATGTCAATTGCCAGACTGTGCTGAAGTTTTAATTTTTAAAAAACTTCATGATTATGTTATCCAGTATAAAGATGCTTAGGAAAAAATAATAATAGTAACAATCTTTACTAACAAACATTTAAAACGTTAGAATACACTTTTTATTTTATAAGAACCAGTAAAATTTTGCCAAGGCTCACTGTTTTTTTGCCGGTTTGAGGCTCAAAAATGTCTTTAATTTGTTCTTATTTTTACACAATTTTCAAACATCGAAAGTTATTATTGTACAGCAGTATATTACTGTATTATTGAGGGTATTACAACCAGATTACATCCTAAAACAAATGTATGCACCCTCGCCTCAGCATCCACTAAGACATACTCTGAGTCTTAGGTTCCGACTCGATGGAATTTATGTCATACCCCAGGGAAGGGCGTAGATCTGTTTGAAATTTAGGTAGATCTGTTTGAAAGGTCAATACCACCTCAGACCCACCATGATTGAGGCTGAGGTGAGAACATTTGAGGAAACAGTAGGCTACGGTTGATAGCAAGAATTGGACACTCTTAGTAAAATTCATCATAATAGGCCTAGTCAAAATAATAATCGCCAACAAATAATTCTTCATGATCTTTTACTAGGGATTTTCGGCAACTATAGAGATCTTATTATTATTATTGTGTGATGTACCATAGAAACTAAAGCTTAAAAACATTGTCTTTTGACATAGGCCTATATGTACTTTACATACTTCAAAACCGTGATTTCACAACCCCTCAGCCCCACCATGTTTGGGACTGGGGTGAGAAAGTTTGAGGAAATAATACCTCTAGGTGGCCGGAAATGACAATTTGATATAGTAAAATTCATCATCATCACATTACCATTATACAGTATAGTCAAACTTTTCTCACGATCTTTTATCAGGGAATATCCAGGTCATTTAAGCCTAACTCTATCTTATTATATGATCAACAAATCACAACTTTCTTTTTCGCCTTTAGCACAATTTTCTTCATTTTTAATATCATTAATATTATCATAATTATCACCATCGTCATTATTATTATTATTATTATTATTATTATTATTATTATTATTATTATTATTATTATTATTATTATTATTATTATTATTATTATTATTGTAAACAAAACATTATAAAAGCTTGCAAAAGCATAAAAACCAATCTCAACCATACAATATCACATTTCTCTATCTTAAAAAAACCTGGCATAGGATTTATGGATTTAATTTTTTTTTAAATTACGCTTAGGCCTGTGTGTTATAATTATAGTAGGCCTATTAGGCCTGTATGTGTAACGTGTGCTGATGCATATTTAAATATTTTAGAAGTATTAATTTTGAGCAATCCCATGAAAGAATTTGCATTGGCTAGCAAGAACAAGCTTGAACATTTTAAAACTGTGTATAAAGGGGAGGGGAAACTGTGGTTCCCGCGACTCCCACGGCTCCCTTGGGTACGTCCCAGAAGTGCTTTTAAAAATGGTTCAATCGTGCCTGGACCCTCTAAACCAAGCGTCAATCGTCTAGAAAAATACTTGGGCGGTTCCGGATAATACTGTATTTTTTCTACAGAAACACAATCACTCGAAGGATATAATTTTTTTCTTAATTTTTTAAAGTGTATACTTTAACATCGTATCTTTCTCACCTCCTTTCTTGGAGGTGTAATTTTTGCTTATTCTACCTCTAAAAGCTCCGAGATTTCACTTCCAAATGTGCTTTTTTTTGCAAAGCCGATGCTCGTGTGATTGTGAGTTTCCTACCCATCAGGTCTTCAATGGCCTGAGGAGGTTCGGCAAGCCTGGTCATGACTGACGCTGCGCGTCTTAAACTGCGGCGATGAACCTTTCCTATTATTCGATTCGACACGGTCATTCTACCCCTCCTGTTTTACTCCTACACTTTCGGAGTCCTTTAAAGGAGGTTGGCTTTACCCACCAGAACCAGAACCAAAGTGTAGACCTGTCTGGGTTGAGCCAAGTGGAAGTGCTGTGTCTGTCAGTAATTAGCAACAGATCGTTTTTAATCAAGATTTTAACTCACGTCCAGACATCAAATAAAAACGAAATCATGCACGTGTACACTGTGTAACCAGTTACACTATTAAAGTACTTACTCAGCTACGTCATTATAGATGTCATAATCATCAGAATTGCAACAGTAGTAGTAGCCAGACGACCCACAGCAATAGGTTTTTGAGAAACTGAAACTATCTGGGCATGTCAGCTCAATAAAGTCATTATCATCATAACAGAAGTCAGCATTCCCTGTAAGTAAGACATGACAATTTTTTTAAATGGTGGATGTTAACCTTTTCCATTGTCCTTTTCATAAAAAATAAAAATTGAACAATATTCTATTTTCTATTTGTGCTTATGAATTTGAGTCTATAAAGAGTCAAGCAGGAACGCTTATTAAATTTATCTGTTTTATAGGATAGGAGGCATACAATTACAGTAGCGGTCATGTGACACCGGAAACCCCAATCATAGAACCTTGTATTCCCATTGCCCTTCCCCTCCCCAACTGTCGGGAAATAAGGTACATGACACCATGGTGTGCAGTCGTGTGCCACCTCGTGATTACTCGCAATTAGGTTAAGTTGTGTTGAATTGCGGATTTAAATTGCTTAAGGGTTGGAAGCAGTGGCGGCTGTAGGATATATTTTCTGGGGGGGGGGGCTAAGCTGTCCGACAAGGGGGAGGGGGGAGGGAGCGAGGGGGCTGAGGCCCGAGCCCGGGGATGGGTTTTGGGAGTGGATGTCCCCCTCCCCAATGAGAGTCCCCATCCCTAATGAGATTTTTTTTAAAGGACTTCAGAATGGTCGGAAATTGCACTTTCAGACTTAAAAACACTTTTAAAAATGTAAAATTGATAAAATACACTTGTTATACCTGTATACTCAAACTCAACTCAATAAACACGCATTTCATTTCATTAAGCCTTTTTTAGGGAAGGGTGGCTTGCCCTTTACAATGAGGGGATTAAGCCTCTTTCCCACTCTAGCTGACACCGTCACTGGTTTGTAGGGAAGTTAGAGATTGGAATATCTGGTTCCCATTGATTATTGTTCTAGACTACGTAAAATAAAAAAGAATACTGGTGTCTTGATCCTCTGAGAACTGATGCGCTGGTATGCATTCAAGAGTTTTGGTATTTGTAGGTTGCGAGTGAATCATTATGATGGAGCTTTGGACAGACTGGTGATATACCACTGTGAATCTGGTAAATTGGATGAGCTTTGCAGCTTTCCTTCAATCAGCTAGTGATTCCCATCCAAATGTAGTTATAGCATTTTGGTGACTATAAACGCCTCGGCCGCTAGGTGGTCACGGACCACGCCCATAATTCAGCACAGTTGTGGGTTATTATCCTACATTTATCCTGGTTCTAGGCAGATTCCCCCACCCCACACTAAGATAATCCCCCCCCCGACTTTTGGTCTCCTTTTTACATCTTATGTAATTTCAATTATAAATTTTAATGCATGATACATTTAAATTTTTTATTTTACTTAATTTTAAGGAAGTAGTTACTCCTACGATATTCATTAGTGCATTAAGATAGCAAGACTGAAGGCTGATTGAACAAATTTTTGCCCAGATTCAGTGTTCTTTATATTTGTTGCCGATTTCAGTCTTAAATTGTACTTATTCCGTTCATATTACTTTTCAGTCATACAAAATTATTATTTTACAGCATTATACTGTATTATAGGGTATTATCATGAAACTTATTCCTTCATGGTATTAGATACCTAGTCACTTTATTCCTCTGTGGATTTCCTCTGCTGCAAATAAGGATAAGATTTGTTGGTTTTTCTATTTAAAAAAATTAAAACCTCATTTGACATTTTACCTCAGCCTCAATTTTTTCTTATTTTGTTCTTAATTTTTAAGCCACTTTAGCCTCTGTGGTATAAAATGTGTTCTTAAAAAATATGTAATTGTAATATCTTAGTGCCTAATGGCCTAATGTTATCCACTAGTCCATGTCTTCAATAGTGTATAATTTAATGATAATAATGATAATAATAACAATGAATAATAATAATAATAATAATAATAATAATAATATATTATTATTATTATAATTATAATTTTAATAATAATTTAATTTAATTTAAAAAAAGAAATAACTATAAAGATCAAAAGAAATAACCTTGTTTATTCTGTATGAATAGCATTATTATATAAGTTAAAATGGATAATAAAATTATTTTAGTTTTATAAACATAGTTAAATATCATAGGGGAAATGTCACCGGGGGTGGGGTGGAGAATATCCGGGGTTGAGGAATATCCGGGGAGAAATTTGCGGTGGAAAATGTCAGGGGAAACCAGCCTACTTTCCATTGTTCTACCTGTATTATGCCACCCAATTTAAAATTAGCCTATAAAAGAAACACGGCAAAGAAGTGTATAACCAACTGCCTATTCATGAAGCTCCATGGTTACACGTATAAACATAACCAGCATTTAGAATATGAATCGATTCTTTGTAACGTTTTGATGTGGGCTTATATTTGAATTATTGTAAAACAAAAACCACATTTGATCAATATTAAAGCATGGCATCCTGTATACCTACCTACAAAACAATTCCTTAAAAATGATTTTATATTTCCATTGATGGCAGGCCTCCACAAATAAAATCATTGTAAAAACATGTAGGCAAAGAGCTGTAGACTTTCTTCTGGGTAAAGCGGGTACCGGTATGGGGAATTGTTTAAAATTCAACAAAAATAACAAACAAAAGCAAGTTATTTTGTAGGACGGCGATCTCGGAAAATTACAAAATAAATATTTTATTCAAAGGCAGATACATAAACTCATGGATATGCGACTTGTCAATGCATTTATACAGTATATAATTTATGCCCTCCTCCTCCATTTTTTTTTTTTATCTAGGGAGAGAGTAGTTGGTATTGTCCATTTCAGACCGAACATTGTTGAGGTGAGACGAGCAAATCTTAAGAAGACACCTTTGGCATAAACCAATGTAAAGTAAAATCAATACGAGTACACAAATTACAACATTTATAGAGAGGTAGGGCTATCTTGCATACAGAATTTTCAGTACCATTTCCTTATATATATATATTCTTTATTTGGAAGCTACACTTTTACAACAGTGGCACACGTAGAAAACGGTGCGTCCAAGGAAAATATAAGAAAACAAACAAAATCAAAACATGACAAATCAAAAGTAAAAGTAAATGA